TGGGGTTTCTTCCTTGCCCCCAGGGTTCACATCCTTCTCCAGCAACATGAGTCGAAAGGTCGCCACTTTCTCCTGAATCTGCTGTTCTTCGTACCTGAAGGATAAATCCCTTCTACATTAGAGCTTGACAAGGGTTTTCCCAAGTCCAAATTTATAATTGCTTCCTTCTCCAACAGGGTCCTTTTTCCTTCTCCATGCACACAGTACTTGTCACTCAAAAAGTTCTTTTAAGTTTTCCTTATCTTTCCCCATACCCTCCTCCTTCCTTCTCTACACTATGCTCTCTAGAACAGTGGATTTTAAACATGCTACAATTCAGGGGCCAAGAGAGGACAGTTTGCTTGCTGGCAGAGTTCCCAGTGCTCCTTTCCCAACTTCAACACAAATAGATCTTTTATTTTCTGGGACTTCAAAGAAAACATAATGTATAAAAGGATACCATTGCTCAAGTTTGAAAACCACTGCTCTAAACGGGTTTCTACCTGAATGTGCTCCTTTTCCAAAATTTCACTTCTCTGCCAAGCTCATAATAATATCCTCTATTCAAATACTCTTTCAATTCCGATCTTCTGCCTTTACCACCTTCCATGGCCGCAATCCTTACATCCACCTACCTTTCTCTTCCTTCCAATAACAACACCTGTCAGGTTACCTAGCTCTTCTGCCTAATGCTACTTTCCTATACAGCACATTTTTGTTCCTTGATGGCCCCCTTCTCCTTCATAAATTCAGCTAAATAATTCAGACCCCCTTAGGCTGCTATTAATGCTCCAAACAGTTTCCTTGACATCCCACCATGCACTGACCAATTCTTCAAGCTCATTTTCTTTCTTCCTTACAACTCCTTTTTAGGACGCTTTCAACCTGCTCTAGTTTCTTTCCACACATCCCACCTAACACCCAACTAAGCACTCACTCAGTGCTTTGCTTCTCCCCACCCATTCCCTCACCCCTGCTCTTCCATCATCTCCTCCAGCTCGAGGCATCGCAGCTCCACGCGCCGCTTGCGCTCGTGGTCCAGGATGTCAGGATTAGGACGCTTCACCAGGGCAGCCTCCAGGCGCCGCAGTTCCTCCTCTCCCTTGTAGTCAGGCCGCTCACCACGGCGGCCCCGCACCAGGGACAGGTTGCGCTGGACGTAGCCGTTGGTGCCGCTGCCCCGGGGCGTCGGCAGCCCGATCCCGTTGTACATGGCCCTGTGCCCAGGGGGGCACCACCGCTCCTGAAGGGGAGCGGGGAGACACCAGTCAGGCTCCTGGCCCCAGTCTAACTACTTACCACGTCTCCCACATCCCTGGCTCTCTTAGCCTTTAGTTCAATGCTTAGTCTCACACTGAGCCTCCATTAGCAAAATGATGCTTCCTCATTTCACTAGTCTGCAAACAAAACCCTCCCTTTATCCTCCCCACACTTCATCCTTTCCACTAAATCACCATCTACTTTTAAACCTTTTCTCACAATGTACTTTCACCAAATTCTAAGCCATTCTTTGTACTTATATTTTCCTTTCTACACGATAAGCAAACAAGAATCCAGTTTGTCTCAAATCTCTCCACACTATCCCTTTATTCTTCTTTGGCCACAATACATACAAATGGTATCTTCACCAAACACTGAATGTAACTACTGGTAACTAAGTCCTCCAAATGGCACAATCAACACCACAGATCAGAACACCTTAAAGCCTTTAGTCCATTTTCAAAGACTCCTCCGAGAGAATATTTAGGCTAACTTAAACAAACAAGAAATGGAATAAACAGTCCTAGGTATCTAAATAGGTGAACTGGCTAGTTAACATGAACCAAATGTCCTATGCAGTCTCACACTCAAACCATAGGCAAGCAAGAATATCAGAAACACAGAGGAACCATGGGTACATAAGCTTATACTTAACATGGGGCAGGTGAGCCATCTCTGATTCCAAATATTCATAGCTCCTACCAACTACAGTGATTTTATTATTTTGTTTCCTTCCCAGTAAGGTTTACCACATCCCTTGCAGTTCCTCCAAGTCTGGCTAGCTCTTATTAAATATTGCCTGTTTTTAACTTGATATTCTAAACATAAACCATCTTTCTCTGTTCTAACTGTCCCCATATTTCCTCTACAAGTATCTAGAAACCTTCAAACTCCATATCTTAATGTAAAACTGTTGACTTTCCCTATCAATCTCTGGTCTGGCACTTCATTTTTTTATTCTCCTAGTCCTGCTTTACTCTTCAATTTAACCCTATGTTTTCCTGTCCGGTTCTACCTTTTCATCTTGTTTCAACCTCAACATGATTAAGAACCCCCAAGCTCAAGTTTTTTGGACTGTATTACTCATTCTCTAGGCCCTTCTCACGATATATGCCTTATTTTTTTTTCTCCAACTCCAACACATTTTCTCCAAGATGGAGTCTCAAAGCATATGAAAGAAAACTAGCATATAAAAGCACACAAGAACAGGGAAAAGTGGAGGTTAGTAAAAGCAGACGGAAGAGATGAAGCTGTTTAAGAAATTACATTCAAGAAATTTCAGAACTAATGTATCAATTCCTAAACAACAAAGTATGAGAAAACAAAATATAGGCAAATGTTGAATGTAGACCAAACACCAAAATATACTTTTGCCCCATCCCACTCAAACCTAGCCTAAGCTTACCCTACTCAACTGAAACAGTTTTTAGAAAACTAAAAGCAAGAATGACAGATATGGCTAAATCTATGAAAGGCAAGTGTAAATTCAGGAAGAAATGGAAAAACCTTTTTAGAGTCAGGAAATCTGTAGTACCTTCCAACAATCATTCTTAAAAGTGTAAAATTACCAATCCTTCCTTCCTTCCTCTAAATCTAGGGCCTGTATCGCTTCCTCACCTTATTTGTGTCCTTTGCAAAAGGCTTCTAACAATCTTCCAATCTAACCATTCACCCACACTTCCACCATTTCACAAAAAAATCTGCCCACTCCCTACATGATGAAAGCTAAGCAAATGGTATTTTAAAAAAAATCATGATTTTGGAGAACTTTCAGGGAAGAGCTAAAAAATAAAGGAGGGAGGGGAGAATATGTTACACCCAGTATCAAAGCAGTGCTCAAGACACTAAAAGGAAAACCACAACTACCAACTACCAAAACCAGACAGCACTTAAAACGGGAGCACAAAGTAGGCAACCTTCCCGAGGTTAACAGCAGAAAGAAAAAGCAAGTTGCCAAGAGAAAATAATTATCAGAATGCCCAACTACAAAAGAGGCAGAAACTAAGATGTTCAAGAAAAGAAACTGCAGCCAAGAGAACTGCAAATGGGTGGGGTCCAGGAAAAGGACAGAGTAAAATACAGAACTCAATACTGAAACACTACTGTGAAGGCACGGTGTAACACACACAGCTCCATTATCAACCCAGGAAGAGACCTAACCTAAGCCCACCCAGAGGAAGAAAAAACAAGAGCCTCCTCTGAATTTTTAATTCTGAGACATCTTAAAAGCACTGCAAGGGGGCTTGGAGAGATGGCTCAGTGGTTGTGAACTGGTTGTTCTTCTGGAGGACCTGAGTTCAATTCCCAGCACCCACGTGGCAGCTCACAACTGTTAACTCCAAGATCTGACAACCTCACACAGACATACACCAATGCACATTTTTAAAAAAAAAGAAGAAAAAAAAAAAAAGAATTTCATGCCAAGTAATGGCTGACACAAGCCAGTCTGTTTAAGTCCAGAATGTTCTTCCCATCGAAAAGCTCCAAAAGCCTCCCTAGCTTTAACATTTGAGGAGACATGTTCAAAAAGCAGGGTAGGAGAGGAACATGGTGGCGCACGCCAGCGCTCGGCGGACAAGGGCAAGCAGATCTCTCTGCCTCCTATCATCTACATAGTGAGTTCCAGGGCGATGCAGAGACCACGTCTCATAAAACCAGAAGGTAAAAAAGATTTAAAAAAACGACTGGCAGGGTAGGAGGAAGCAGCACACGGTCTTCCTTTTTGTTTTTACTTTTACCGTTTGGGGATCCCCGCCCCCGCCCCCTCGCGCACACGCCTGAGCTCAGCACCGGTCCTAACGACGGCCTGTCGGAGTTCAAGGCCTTCCGGCACTCATCGCGCCGCCGGGCCTATTTTCGGCCTTGAGAGTGGGGGAGGGGGCCGCGCGGCGCCCGCCCGCCCGCGGTCCGAGGC